ACTCTTGGTATGCTACTTCTCTACCGATTCGTCTCCTCTCTTGAAAAATCTCCCAAGATGGAAAATCTCCCCACAAGTCGATACTCACTCTTGCGAATCCGGCACAGATGCACTCGATTACCCTATAGTAACTAGAGCTGGTGGTGGCGGAATGGGTTGCCGTGTCGAATTGGAGTGGTGGCGGAGTGGGAGGAGTGTGATGGGCAGATTTGGTAGCCGGGACGGATTGGAGTGGCAGAGAAGTGGGAGGACGGTGAGTCGAATTCAGTGAAGAATAAGTAGAAAAGAGCCTCCGACAGTCGATCCAGCCTCCTTCTCTGTTCAGTTCGTGAGATGAAAAAGAGGATTGGATTTCTGGGAGGTGAAGAGTCAGATTCTGCAATTGGGGCTTTGCAATTGGGATTTAGTGGATGGGTTCTGGCGATGAGATTCACGATTCAGGGGACATGTTCTTGTAGTAAAGTACAGGAGACTGGGTTCCTCTCCCACCATAAATCCTTGAACTCCGTCCACCATCGTCGCCATCATCGTCGGCGTCGATATGCCACCGCCGCAATTTGTGAAATGGGGCTCGTTGTTGATTCTTTCCCGATTCATCCATCAAATCACCGTAACTCGCTATGTCATTGTCTGTCGTTGTTGTGATTTCCGATTTGGGGCTCGTTGGGAAAGTGAAGCTCTGATTTGGGGGAATCGAAGCAGCTAATGGTGGAGCTGCGACAACCAACTCTTCAGCAACAAATTGAGTTAGCGGAGGGTGGAGCGGAGGTGAGAGGGTGAAGTTTACGGAGTGGATCAGGGGAAGTAAGGGGATTGATTTTTTTTTTCTATGGTGGGTTCGCAGCATGGAAGAAGGGGATGACGAACGGCGGCGAACGACAATGGGGTGAGGGGAGGAAGTGGATATGCACTTTTATTTTATTTATTTATTTATTTATTAATTTTAGGTGGAAAAATATTAAAAAAAAATCTATGTCAGATGCCATCTCAATGTTGACTGTATTTTCTATTAAATACTAACAGTCAACGCCGATCAACATTAACAGAATAATAGTTCAGGACATAAATGGAATATTGAAAAGAATAAGACACAAGTGGCATTTTTGTCATAGTTCGGCTGTTGTAGTTTTATTAGCCCAATAATAAATAACTATAAAATCACTAAATATTCTTAAAAATCTAATAATTCATAAATCTATTATGAAAAAATCTAAAAAAATAAAAAACTAAATTATCTAATATCTATTTAAAAAATTTAATATTCTTAACAAATCTAGCCAAAAATAAAAAAATTCACGGCAACGACCTACGAAGCCGTCAGTCCACCGCTGTCGGTGACTTTGGATAGGACGTCGCCAGCGATAGCCGGACGTCCTGCCGGGGAGTGGGCCGCCTTGGACTGACGTGCTTATTGGTCGTCATCAGAAATTTTAGCCGATAATTTTACCTCGTCGGCTGCATTTCGTGGAGTGAGGTGGCGGTTGCCGATGTGATGTGGTGGTCACCGACGGCGAATAAAGTAGGAATGTGTTTGGGAAAAGTGTTTGAATTATTTTTTATCTTGAAATGTGTGCATTGAATGAATTTATCTGTGATAGGTATTAATGTACATTTTTTTAATTTAGGGCTAAAAATAGAGAAAATGGGTAAATTACAAGTTTGGTCATTGGGTTTACTAAAAAGGTTCATGTTTAGTCACTAAAAATATCTATTTCCATTCGTGGTCACTAAAATTAATTTAATGGTTCAAATTTGATCACTCTCCGTCCAATTTCGTTATCTTTATCCTATGTGGCGGTCAACTCTCATAGTTGACCATTAAATAAGTGGGTGGCAATTAAAAAATAATAAATTTAATCTAATTCAATTTCCACCTCATTTTAACAATATATTAAAATAAATAAAATAATAATAATAAAACTTAAACAACAAAAGGACACACAAACCTGAGGAAAAATTTCCTCTTCCTCTAACCACAAAAAACCCTACTTTCCCATTCTTCTTCTTCTTCCCCATTCAGGCTTCCGTCACCGACGACAACCCAAAGGATGGAAGGGCTTCACCGAGGCCTCTGCTGGTTAATGGATCTTCAGATCCGACGACGGGCGGTAAAGGCAGTGGTGGAAAGATGATTCTGTGGTGGAAGCGGAGGCCAAGACGAGCTGCGAAAGTGCGGTGGATTTAGTAGCAGCAGTAATAGCAACAACAGTATCTAATAAATCTCCACTACCCAGAAGTCAAAACCCATTGCTCTTACACTCCTCCCCTCGACTACCACGCCGCAACACCAGCAACTCAACTTCGTCCTCCGCCGCTCCCAGCGCTACCGGAAAGGTCACCAAGCGAAAGGGTTGCTGTGACTGGTGAGGATACTGATGATGAGTGAGTGAGGACGAGAGAGGGGGTGAAAGGGTTGCGATGACCGGTGAGGGAGGGATTAGTTTAGTTCTGATAATTGTATTTTATTTATTTTAATTTATTGATAAAAGTGAGGTTGAAATGGAAAATAATTAAATTTTACTATTTATATTATTTTTTTATTTTTTAATTGCCACGTCACTTATTTAACGGTCAACTATGAGAGTTGACCGCCACATAGGATAGGGGACCGGTTATTGTAACACCCATTGTGTTGTTATTGTAACAACACTAGTCCCCAACCAATAGGAAGCTAGGATTGTGATGACTTTTTATTAAATGAGTTGACCTAGTGTAAAATCAAAGCAGGGGTATAATTGTCATTATGAAAAATCTATTTAATAAAAAATAAAAAATAAAAATAATTTTTTTTATTTTCTGCCCAAAAATTTGGTCGTCGGAATTCTGCCACCGGTCGTCGGAAAATGGTCGTCGGTCACCGGAATATGCTTTTTGTCGCCGGAATATGCTATTTTGTGGCCGGAATATGCTTACCGGAGTCGGAATATGCTTACCGGCGTCGGAATCTAGTCACCGGGGCCGGAATATGCCTATCGGCGTCGGAATCTGCTCACTGACGGTCACCGGAGTTCGGTCAACGGTCAACGACCACCGGATGTTATGGTCTGCATTGTGAGATTTATGGTTTGGTTTCTCATATTTTTTTATGCCTTTTATGGTTTGTTTTATTGTGTTTGTGGTTTGCATTGAGAAGTTTCTGGTTTGTTTTCAAAAACTTTGTAGTTTGCATTGTGAGGTTTCTGGTTTGTTTTATTATATTTGTGGTTTGCATTAGGACGTTTATGGTTTGTTTTTTGTGGTTTGATTTACCGTGTTTGTGGTTTGCATTAGGAGGTTTTTGGTGTGCTTTTGCAAATGTTGTGGTTTGCTTTGTGAGGTTTGTGGTTTGTTTTAGGGGATCTGTGGTATGCATTAGGAGGTTTCTGGTTGCATAAAGAAGTTTCTGGTGTGCTTTCGAAACTTTTGTGGTTTGCTTTGCGAGGTTTCTGGTTTGTTTTAATATATTTGTGGTCTGCATTAGGAAGTTTTTGGTTTGCTTTACCGTGTTTGTAGTTTGCATTAGGGGGTTTCTGGTGTGCTTTTCAAAATATTTATGGTTTGCTTTGTGATGTTTCTGATATGTTTTAGCGAATTTGTGGTTTGCATTAGGAGGTTTCCGGTATGCTTTTTGTGGGTTGTTTTATTACGTTTGTGGTTTGCACTAGGGGATTTTCGGCGTCTACAAACAACCATTTTTTTTAATTGCTTACTTACTCTGTGATGTTGATCTTTAATTACTTTACATTTTTTGACTTTGTAATTCCTTTAATTATATAGGTTTATTAATTTAATTATATTATTCAGGTTTCCATCCCCAAGGACCACGAATTCGAGGAGTCCTCTGCAACGCCTAGGTTCCAGCAAAGCAAACTGTGGAATGAATAGATCCAAATAGATCCAGAAAAATCTTGGTCTCTAGTCAATTAGGGGATTCGCTCGAGAAAATCCTGGGTAGCGATCCATCGTTATGGATTTGGCGGTTGGAGAACAAGACCCTGCTCCATTTGATTGAAAGCATTCCCAGTTTTGATAGTCAGCCAGAAAAGAGAGAGTTGGGAGATTAATCAGACATACCCAAATCAGTTTCAATCTAAAAGTGACCTGCGTCTTCTTCTTCTTTGCCTGCACCGACGATGGCTCTGTCACCGAGCTCTTACTCTCTGACAAAACATCACAGATTCTTTCCCCTCAACCATCTACGACCTCACAAACCTCACCGGTTGTTATCGAGATCTAAGACCGACGAAAAAGTGGTTGTAGACACGTTCGATTTAGCGCCGGCGTCGGAAGAAAGAAGAGACGAGAGGAGGACTGGCAACCCCGGCGGAGGAAGAAAGAAGGAACGGCGGGGGATGGAGGCCTCAATCGTAGCCGCCAGATACATCGCGATTCCGATCTAGTTGTTTGCCTGAGATCAGAGGAAGGGCGACGCCTCTACCGTCAGAGTCGATATCAAGGGTGTTCCTGCCGGTGATGGAGGCGAGCGTACCGGAGGAGATGCAGTCGTTGGGGTATGGTTTCGGAGGAGATCGAGAGAGACAGGTAGGGATTGAAAATTTTAGTTCTCAATTATAATTTATTAATTTCTGTTAGTTTTCCCTTTTTACCCCTGATGTTACTATAACAACACCAGGGATGTTGTTATTCTATCCGGGGCCCATAGGATAGAGATAAAAAAATTGGACGGAGAGTAAACAAACTTGAACCATTGAATTAATTTTAGTGACTATGAATGAAATTAAATACTTGACTATATATAAATATTTTAATAAACTCACTTACCAAACTTACAATTTACCTTAAAAAAAAGTTAGAGCTAGAAATAGTACATGTACATCCCTCGCAAAATTGCATGTAAAGCAAAACCTGTAATCCCTAAACCACCCTTCTAGGGTCAGGATTCAGACACTGTGGTAACGACCACGTTTAATCATGCAACTCGAGGACAGATTAGTATTATTGCTCCCTCTCTAGGACTAGGACCGACAATCTGACTCGTTTCTCCGACACCATTTGTCTTCTTTCTTCTCCGCCTCTTTTGAACACAGAGCACTCCCTCCGTCTCTCTGCTCTTCAGTGCTGGACGCCATTGAAGCACTTCGAAGAAAGTAACAGCAGAAGAAGAAGAAACAGACGACTCAAATAAGACACCTCAAACTACCTCACCGAAACCTCCAATAGCAAGCCCACATTTTGTCTCCTGAGTTGCTTCTACCCCTTCACCTCCTTTCTTCCTGTAACTGTCCCCTCAGCCCCCAAAAACCCTCAACACAAAACCCTACCCACAAACGAAAAATGCAGCATCCCAAACCCATCTCCCTCTTCCTTCTCTTCTTCTTCGTCTTCATTACCACCACCCATTTCTCAGCTCAAACAGCAACCGCGAAATCCACAATCGAGCCCTGCTCCAACTCCGACTCCTGCAGCGCACTCCTCGGCTACACACTCTACACCGACCTCAAAGTCTCGGAGGTCGCTTCCCTCTTCCAAATCGACCCAATCGCCCTCCTCACAGCAAATTCCATCGACATTTCCTACCCGGACGTCGAGAATCGCATCCTCCCTTCCCAGCTCTTCCTCAAGGTCCCAATCTCTTGCTCCTGCGTCGACGGCATCCGCAAATCGGTCTCCACCCACTACAAGACTCGCCCTTCCGATACTCTCGCTGGCATCGCCGACTCAATTTACGCCGGGCTGGTGTCCGCCGACCAGATTAAGGAGGCCAATTCGATACAGGACCCTTCTGTGCTTGACGTCGGCGAGACCCTTGTGGTCCCTTTGCCCTGCACTTGTTTCAATGGGACTGATAACGCCTTGCCGGCTATCTATCTCTCGTATGTGGTGAAGGATGTGGATACTCTCACTGGGATTGCTGCTAGGTACACCACTACTATCAGTGATCTGATGAATGTTAATGCCATGGGCAGCACCGCCATCAAGGCTGGTGATATACTCGCCGTGCCGTTGCCTGGTACGTCTTGTTGTTGTTGTGTGTCTGGTAGCTGTTCAGCTTAGTTAGTGCTTGTGGAGTGAGCTTGGTGTTGCTGGTTTTAGTAAGTTCTGGGTTTGGTGGGTAATGTTGTTAATGTGACGCTTTAAATGTTTGAGCAATTTCTTCGGCGGTATGGAATCCTCTAAAACTGTAAATTTCAACTTTCTAAATTTGTCATGGCTGAGAAAATAGGGTTGTAAATGACTAAAAACTGGAATCCGTCCAAATTGGTGGGATTTGGTAATGAAATTCGTAGACTCTGGTTACTCTTTTTGTTCAATTTTACAAAAAAAATTCGAAAGTTTTCTCTTATGTTTTGCTTTAGGCCATTAGAGCAGGACTGTGTAAGTATTTCCGAAGAATGCATTTCCATCTCATTCCAAACACAATCTATTGTCAACGGAATTGGTTCCATACAGATGATTAATGATTGATTCTTTGGTTTGCAGCTTGTGCTTCTAGGTTTCCACGATACGCCTCTGATTCCGGTTTAATGGTGCCAAATGGGAGTTATGCTATCGTTGCGAGTCATTGTGTGCAATGCAGCTGTGGGCCTGCGAATCTCAAGTAAAATTTCTTGCCTTTCTGTTTTTAATTCGTGGATTCACATTCACCACTGATGTTTCTGGTGCACATTTTTATGCTACTGAATGGTGTTGCATGTAGCTTGTACTGTATGCCTGCTTCGTTGGCGGTGTCTTGTTCGAGCATGCAATGCCGAGGCAGCAATCTTATGCTTGGAAATGTAACGCAGCAGCAGAGCAGTGCTGGGTGCAATGTGACCTCTTGTAGTTATGGTGGATACGTTAATGACACTATTATCACCACGTATGCTCTCTATCAATTGAATTCAAATTCTGGCTTCCCTTTGTTTCTTTGAGCAATTTCACTTCAAGTTTCCTCATGTTAGCCGAGCGACTGAAGATGGTATGTTTCTTCATTACCATGCAGGTTGTCCACATCCCTTCAACCACGATGCCCTGGTAAGAAGTTCGATCGATATTCATTGGTTGTTTCTTTACTGGTTATGAACCTACGAGTTGTATTAGTTTTTTTGTCAATCTAGTGAGGCTTCTGGTTACGTTAGCCTTCTATTTGGTTGTTTGTTTACGAGTGTTTCAGTTACACTGAATATATTGCTTCTCTCTGTTGTTAAACTTACGTCTATTTATGAAACACGCAGGAGTATTGACATTACTGCTTTCCTCAAAATCATCTCAGGAGATGGTTTATAGATGAAAATGATATCCCATATTAGCATTCTTATAGCTCCATTGTGCTGCATGTTTTAATGTGATGCAGGGCAACAACAGTTTCCTGCACTTATAGCCCCTCCTACAACTGTAACCAGGGATGCAACATTTGCTTCAGCACCAGCACCGTCCCCTCAGGGATATGCCGGCGGCAATATTGGGCCGAATACAGTTCCGACAACTGGCTCAATGCCAGGAGGATTTCCAGCGGCAAACGGTCCCGTGGGAAGTGCATCAGGATCAGATGCCTGCTCACTGGGGATCCCTCATTTGGGTAGAAGTTTATTTACAGCTTCATTTGCTTTGTTCATGGTCGTCAAGTTAATGTTGTAGCATGTTTATGGCGTAAGCTAGCTTTGATGAGGGTTTTTGTTTTGCTCCGATTGGTTCGGTTTTGCTGGCACTCAACTGCAAAACCTTGACTATTTGTATGTAGCTAGTTTGATTCAATACTCTCCCACTCTTCTTGAACGACTGATTTTGGCGATGTTGAGTTACGGGTTGTAATTTATCTCTTTAGTACATGATGCTATTCTAATTCTTTTGTGGATGCTGGAGTATGATTGTTGATTTCTGGTTGATCTGTTGATGTAAGTTGGAGCTTTGAATCTTGACTTGTTCTTGCTTGGAGTTCTTTGCTGGGGGAAAAAAACTTGGAGAAGATGATGATGATGATGATGATGATAAAACCTGAACGACAAACTCGTATCCGGATTCTATTCTGGCAGTTTACAAAAACCACAAACGAAAATCACTAGAAATGGTAATCACAGAGCATTACAACAGAGCAAGCACTTGAGAAATGAGAAGGAACACAATCAACGAGCTTTCTTCTTGCCGGGAATGGCGACCCGCTTACCCTTCAAGGTCCGGCAGTTGTTCTTAGTGCGCTGTCCCCTGCAGGGCAAACCCTGGATATGCCTCACGCCTCTGTAGCACTGAATCTCCTTCAACCTCCTTATGTTTAGTGCATTGAACCGCCTCTGAACCAAACCAGAACCCACAAAATCACAACTCCATTTGCAGAGCAAAAATGACTGTCAGATGAGTCTGTTAATAAGCTGCTGGGATATTGGGGTTACCAAATCTCCTTCAATGGTGTACTTGGAGACTTCATCACGGAGGTTAGTGAGCTCCTCCTCGGACAAGTCCTTGGTTATCTTGTTCTCAATGCTCAGGTCAGCCAGGATTTGGCGCGACATTGAGCGGCCGACGCCATGGATGTACTGAAGCGAGTACTCAACTCTCTTCCCATTGGGGATTTCCACACCACCAACACGGACGCATCGGATGCTCAGCCCACCAACCTAATCCCAAATTCAGTTGACTCAAACCCTAGAAAATGGCTATCAACTCAAGCATGCCATTTTGCAACCCAAGAACGACAAGGAATTACATACATGGATTGCAGTTCAATCTAATTACTAAATTCGCCATGCGGTGCGAAGAACTCCAATTACCTTGGGAGAGGTTGAGAGCGGGAGGGAGACGAAGTTGGAGAGAGAAGTAGCTTGGAGTCCGTTGCAGATAAGGGAGAGCGAAGGCGCCACAGGCATTGCCAGCGTCTGCACCATCTTTAACTTGGGTTGTCACTCCAGAACTGAAGATTGTGGTCGTGGATGATAGTGATACGGGGTATCTCTATCTCGCCACCCAAACAGAATCGGGTGATGGATTTTATTGGCAGCGACAACGGGGGCCTGTTTATTTGGGCGTTCCCGGCTGTTTGGCAGGCCGAGATGGTGCTAGTTCCTCATCCTGCACTGTACGGTGGTGTCTCTAAAATATTGAGGGCCGCCGGGATTTCTAGGCCCAACAAACAAGACTACTTTTTCACAAAGACAGACGTTTATCTCATCCATCCATCCAGCATATTAAGGGCTTTCTCAAACTCAATGGCTAAACATAGCCCTAAATTTACTATTATCACCATAACTTAAAATTTAAAATTACTTAATTGCCCGTAGAAATAAAAGCCGCAAAGGAAACACATCCTAATTCCTAACAAAGACCACTCCTCTCTCCTCTAAGCCGCCGACGCCTGCATCCACCCAACCCGTCGCCGACGTCCTCCGCCACAAAGCCTCACCCAATCACGCTTCCTCCATCCAGCCGCTGTCGTTCTCCTCCAACAGTCACTCGCTAATGTTGCCTCTCCTCCAGCCGTCGTCACATCGTCGCGGTGCATCCTCTCCTCCATCCCGCCGGCGACCCTTCTCCGACGTCCTCCCGCATTTCAGGTAATGGCGATGTACTAGTCAATAAACATCAATTATTGAATTGTTATATTCCTTGCTGCATTGTTGCTGATTTGGATATCATTTGAAGATTTTTTATCAGATCCCACCATTCAGATTCCATTCCCATAAGGGGAATTGTTATGAAGAAGATTCTTCAATTATGAACCTGTGTATTTGGTTCTGGCCATAAACCAATCATCCGATTTTTTTTTTTTACTGTGAACGTCGAATGTCCATCCCTGTCCCGCTCAACCACCCTATCTCTCTCCCCTTGAAACTCTCAGATGAGGGACTATTTTCTAAAAATATAAACGAAAGGATAAATATGTAATACTAATTTTTAAGTTAGGGCGATTATAATAAATTAGGGAGACAATTAGCAACTGCCTTCTCAAAATCACCTTTCCCATTTCAAATTTCCAGCACTCTCCTTAATTCTCGGTTCTTTCATTTTTATTTCCCTCAAAATAAATTCCTACTTCATTTATCCTTATCTCTTCCCTTTTTCATTTTTTTCCTCAGACGTTTACTATTTTTCCGTCCCTTTTTAAACAATACAAATAATAGTATATCAATTTGAGAATGATTCTAACTTCTAAGTACTTTGATTTCAAACTTATTCTTTTCAATCGTAAATATGTTTTTTCCTCATCATTGGTAGTTTAATGTGACAAAAAAAGTATAGTGATGTGAACGTGACTGAAGTTTAATGAGTGTTTTTTTTAGAAAATAGAGCACGAAGGGGCGCTCTAACCCTTAATTAATGATAGCCCGCAGGGTTTGAACTCTAATAATATAAAAGTACAGCCAGTATCGCAAGCCAGAGCTTGGATTCTCAACAAAATGCACTCCAATCAGTAAAGAATGTCACACCGACGCTAGGTAGTCGGCCACGAAGTTAGCTTCCCTGAACACATGGCCAATCGACACTTCCCAGTCCCTCTCAATCATTCGACGAATGTACGAAATCAGCGTATGGTGGGGATGTGAGGCATCCGCTGACTGGATGAGTGATATCGCTGTTGCAGAGTCAGACTATCAATTTCCATCCTCCTCCGATGTGTCTTCACCCTCAGCACAAGAGGAATCATCGCATGCAAATCGACCCTCGGAAGCAACGACGCTCTGTCCCATTGGATATGAAGTGGTGAACGACGACAGGAGAGGAAGAAGCGGAGGAGCTGCTGCCACCTGCTTTAGACTTGGGCTCCCCAGTTTCGTTCTCCATCTCGGCCAAGAGGGCAATTGCAGAGCCGACAACGGCGACATTGACCTTGTCGAACTCCACCGCGAGTTTTGCTCCGTCGGTGGCTGATTTGAACACCGTCGGTGCAAGAATCGAGGCGAGGGGAATGGTGGACGGCAAGACGGCGAGAGCCACTATGAGGATGTGGTAATGTGGTGGGGGCGGTAGAAGCTGTGGAGAAGTTGGGGGAGATGGAAGAAGGGGCTGTGGCGGAGGGGAGAGATTGAGATATGGAAGATGGAGAAATACATTTTTAGTTTTTATTTTTTATTTTTTCTTACAATTTTTTTTATTAAAATATTCCACATCAGCTGCCATGCAATCGCTGACTGTATTTTCTGCTAACTACTAACAGAAAACTTAACAGATGGTATACAATTGTCATATCAATAGTTACGTAATATAAATGTCACTTTTGTTAAAGGATGATATTTCTAGTGGTATTAGCCCTTACATTTACAAATTACAATTTTAATACCTGAACTTATATGTATTAATATTTGGTACCTGAAATTTTTTCCCCTTACATTTTGGTACCTAAACTTTTCCAAATTTACAAACATGTCCACTACTTATGGTATGTTTTATAAAATTGTGGCATGCTTGAGGAAGTTGTGGCATGTTTTGAGGTTGTGACACGCTTTGGAGGTTGTGACATGCTTTGAGAAGGTTGTAGCATGCTTCGTGTCCTATTCCTTCCTTTTTCCCCTTCCCCAATTTTTCATAATACCAAGTGTGCCCCTCCTTTCTTTTTTCTCTCGTTAATGTGATCAACTCATTTAAATAGAAAGATTATATAAACGAAATGTTCTAATTTACTTGAACTAGTATTAACACCATACTAAAAAAAAGTATTAGCACCCTATCCTCTCCTTTTCGAGACCCAACGTTGACAAAAGGAAGATAAATGAATAAATAAAACAAAAACAAATAAATGAACTGAATAGAAAAGAGAAATAGAGAGGAAAAAATGGCGATAAAGAAAGGAAAAGCACAAAATATGATCGGGGGAGACTGGATCGGGGTACTGAGAGCTGAGAGAGACGCGATGGAATTTTAGGGCGAATAAGAGAAAGGCGGGGAAGGTGGTCATTCTTTTTACTCCTGGAGTTCAATCGATATACAGAGCGAGAGAGAGAGAAGCAGAGCCTGCGGGAGTGATTGCCGGTTGTCATCGCTTCTGGTCGCCGGCAGCTGTCGCCACCTTGCTTTCTGTGTTTCTTTTCTCTTTGGTCGATTACGGAAACTTCAGCTATCCTTCCGGCCAGGAAACTGTAGTCGAAATCTATCATCTTCGTCTCTGCTTAAGCTGGCTTGTGTGTTGTGTCTGGAGGCAACCCCATCGCTTACTGCTCAGAATTTAAAGGTTCGTGTTTTATTCTACTGTCCCTGCTTTTAGATTTCTTAATGGGCATGCTTTCTCCCATTGGAGGAGCTCAGCTCGCTGCTAGAGAATTGGAGTATTTGTAAGCCCTGTACTATGTTTCATGGAGGCCTTAGAAATTGCTGGGGCTTGAGCTACCTAGAGATTTTAGAATGTTCTTTCAGACAAGCGATTGGGGCACAAATGCTGCATGGATTAACTGTTTGTTTTTTCAATAGCTGTAATGGTTTTTTCTACTTAAGCGTGTTCTACTAATGATCCTTTTAGCCACGCGGAAGGTGCACTTGGAAGCAACCGCTTTGGTTGTTTTCCCTGTGGGTTGAGGCAAGCAGACTTTAGCTTTCGTATTGGCTTTGCCCTGCTTCAGCTCCTTCCTTCGTGCAGATTCAGAATCATACTCGAGCTGCTATGTCTGTGGCCTTTATCTTCAATTTTGTGATAACGTCTGTTCCATCATGGAGTATGAAGTTGAATATCAGGAACTGGATGCTTAGTGCTTCTGACCTTAAAATAGATAGACCTAGAGAGCTAGCTGACTGTTACCCAGCTTCATTTCATGGCGTCAAATTAATTGTTATCCAGCATACTTATGTCAGTTGAGGGATAACGAGCCTTAAGTCATAAACAGTTGGTAAGAGTTTTGCATCGCTTGTCTTGTTCTTTATTAGTTTTGGTTTCAATGAGCACTGCAATCATCATTTTACACTAGTGTAGCTACATTGATAGAATTAGCATTAACCACCAAGAAGAAAAGCAGTGTTGCAATGCTTTTTGATTAAGACTGGTCACCGATACGTCCGAACCTCTTATTCTGTAAACTTTTGCGCGAGTTTTACCTTGTAGCTTATAGTGGTGGGATGTTCTAAGCTTTCATATACCATGCAGTTAACTGATCATAATGTTCTCACAGTTGCGGAATTTTGATATGGAAGCTACACAACTTTGTCTTTATTGTAATGAAAGCTTTTCTTCTTGCACTCCCTTTGTGCTTTGAAACTATGGTGATTCACGATGATCTATTTCTGGTTTTCCTTTCTCTCTTAGCAGAAGGTAGAAAATTGGTGCTATTTGTAAGCTTTTTACTGTTGTTATTTGGTTTCTGAACTACTTCTCTCTGAAAGTGGAATAGAGAGGGTGTGCATATTGCATTGGCTTTCTTCCCCGTCGCGCAGCAATTACGACATCATCAGTATTTCCTTGTGCGATGGCAGTCTGTCTCTGTAGAGTCTCTAGGCGAGTCAAATAATTGTGTCCAAGATTGGTATTGAACTTCATTGCACCATCTTTGTTTCTTACTAGGTACATATAATGATTCTAACAAAGCAATACCGATGCATACACTCATCAAGCTGTCAATGCACAAAAGGGCATCTAAGTGAAGACGTGATATTCTTAGTCTTTCAACAGCTGAACTGGAACCCCAAGTTGATAGCTGCTCTATCATGTTCGTGCAAGTGGTTCGATGACCTTGCCAAGCGAGTATTATGGAAAGAGTTCTGCAAGACAAGGGCTCCAAAGATGATGGTTGATCTACAATCAAGCGGAAGTCACAGTGTTGATGGAAACTGGAGGGCACTGGGGAAGTTGCTCATCTACTGTTCAGGATGTAACAAGGGTGGCTTATTCAATAACATTCAGATACCTGGCCATTTTGTTTACAGGACTCGGTTTTCAAGAACTTCTGGGAAATCCTTTCTTCTGCCTCAGTGTAGAACTGATGTTCTATATGTTTCGGACCCATGTGAGCATCTAGACCAAGGGGATGAAGGGGATATAGGATTTTTTAGAGGGATTTTCAAGTCATTTTCAATGTCGAAGGTGAGGAAGTTGCTGATACAAAGAGGGGTCCCACTGCACCCTACACATGTGTGTCCATATTGTAAGGCGAAGCTTTGGAACATGCTTCAAGCAAAGATGATACCAACGAGCGCAAGCTGCAGATTGGGTTCTTATGAAGATTGCATTGAGTATTATGTGTGCCTTAACGGTCATATGCTGGGAATATGTACCCTCTTACCCTTGTCAGAGTCGGAAGAGGTATCTGAGATCGAGTGATAGTCAGATTTGAATCCAGGTATCTTCCTCTTCCTTCACTATCAACCTCATTTTTGCTTGAATCAAATTGAGCTAATACTATAAGGTCAATTTCCGTTATTAAATGTTTCTCTCATATCCCATTTCCAATGAATACTAAGAAAGGGCGATACAGTGAAAATAGAGCTGCTTGAATTGGGCGATATAGTGAAAACTAGGGAGTTTTGATGGATCACCAGTGATAAGGTTTGGTAGTTTAACACCACCACCTAAGTTGATAAGTTTTAGAAATAGCAAGGAATAACTCTTCCATAAGGTCTGAAAATTCATACTGAAATCTGATAAGTGAATGCTGTAGAACTAGCCTCCTTGTGCAGGAGTTACAATGAAGCTTAATGGGCGAGCAAACTAATCATATTATCATTCCTAAACTAAGTATGAATTTTCCTAGTAGATTTAAACTTGCATAAGGAAACTATTAGGAATAGAAAGAAAAAGAAAAACTAAAGCTGAATGTATGCCTGTCACTGCATCCTGAAGCTCTCGAGTTAAAAGCTTTTACAGGGCTGGTATCCATAGAAACTGAGACTGCTAGCTCATGGTTGCTCATTAATCTTTAGGCTTTTTGACTTTTCTGTTTTCTCAAATTGCATCTTGTCCAAATGGCTTTAGGTGGGAATCAATGTCATCCATCTTGGGTCTTAACACCTGTATTCGCTGTGAAATGCCTATGCATGTGGGTCTAACACTTTTGAGGAAAAACTTTGTGGCACCATCTGTGCAATTCCAGACGTTCTTCTAACATGGGGTTGGTGTCTAGGAATGATAGACAAGGGGTTGTTTGGTTACCATGTGTTATAGACTACTTGTATTTAACCATGCATGTATTACGAATGTGTGATGTACATAGTGCATGTATTGTTAGAAAACAACGACTGGTTTGGATCGATAGAAACCAGTGGCAGTGCCCATCAAAAGTACGTATTCTTGAAAGCTTTGGGGCTTTACGAAAGATTTCTTGAATCCACGAAGTCATGTATTTTGCAAATACACGAGTCTTGATATACATGGTTTTCCTGAAAAAACATAGAAATATGTTAGAAACAAAGTTTCTAACGGTTTAGAGAATAGGGAATTTAGCTAGATCAATTAGGGATTGATCAGGCTAGGGATTAGAATTTGGGAATTTAGGAAGAAGAGAGGGGAAGAGGTGGCTGTTGCCGAGCAGCCAAGGGAGAGAGAGAGAGAGAGAGAGAGGGATTAGGTTTTAGGTTTTCTGTAATTGATTGCTTAATGTCAAAATAACACCCTACTGCAGATTATATAATCCGCTAATTCCCTAACTGCTACCCACTTAATAAAATGTCACAACTGACTCCCTACTTATTGCTAAATACCCCAAATAATCCCCAATTACCAAAAACCGACAATAATACGAAATAACGAAAAGCTGCAAATTATTTGTTTCTAACAAAATAACTTGTAACTTGACTTATGTAAAATGTTTCTTCTGTGCAGCATGGATGACGATTCACTGTATGGAGACAATGGTCGTGAATCCGAAATGATATGCTCTCTCTACCTGCTAGTGCTACTGCTGTTGTAAAGCTTGCCCCGCTGCTGCTCCTGTATCTCGCCTGAAAAGTTTGAAGCATCTGGCCTTTTATAGGCGCTACTGACCATCCTTGTTTGTTGTTTGTTGTGGTAGTATTACTTGCTTACAAGCAATGTTGTAAGTTGTCTGTACACATCATATTGTTAGAATAGCAGATAAGTGTATCTGCAATGATTCATCCAAAACTGCATGTGATTAAATCAGCCTGTATTAGATGATCACTTCCCGAGTCTGTTTTACGTTTCAATGGAATTATGTCACAAGTTGTCAAAATCCTTAGCCTCTATGAGTATCCTCCTAATTACATTGAGACTCTATCTTCGACTCCTCTCACTTTTCAGGCCCCTGTACATTACATCGATCAACAAATTCAGTTTTACACTCAAATGAAACTGATACTTTGCTTTCTTTGCCATGTTTATCTTCTACAATACCAGCAACATCTTTTCCCCACCTGCAGAACAAGAAAACTGTTTTCCGGCGAGGAAAATCTGGTGTTTGAGCACAATGAATGCACCTTTGACTTCTTGAACAACGATAATTACACGGTTCACTCCTCTCCGAACAATGTTCGACGAGGGTGTTTGATGGTTTTTATGGTTTTTTGGAACAAGCTACGTTAATTACTCCTACTCCTGTGGAAGTTCAATGAGAGCTCCAAAAACTAAGGCTATGACTAATTTGCAGAGAAAAGGATAAAGTTTGACATTGTGCGTCAAATAGTTGGTTGTGGAACCCTTTTCCCGTCTTCGTTTCTCCTATGTATAGCCACTAAGAGTAACTGCCTTGGTAACTACTAGCCGGCTTGTTGCTCCAGTGACCCCTTTTCGTTGCCTTGGTGGCCAATTGGTAAACCATTGTCTTGAACCGTCTTGTTGACTGGTTGGTACTTGATGCCCTCGGCGCCCAACCGAATTGGTGTTGGTCTTGTCGCCTTGTCTTGACTAGATGAGGTTGAAGCCCTCATTCATGGTTGTTTGGTACCTATCCGATCGTTTGGCACCCCATCGTGTCGCCTTGTTTCCAATACTTAGTTTTTGGAAGGCCTCCTATTTGATACTTAGTTTTTGGAAGGCCTCCTATTTGGTACCCGGCTTGGTACCCGGTCGTTTGGCACCCCATTACGTTGCTATGGGGCCAAGGAGACGGGTCGGCCATCGTGTAGGGAAGAAGGGGCTTGGCCACTTAGGCCCAAAAATCCAACCCAACTAGGCCCATCTGGCTCTTTTAATCATTAATGTTGAGCTGACCTTATAAATCCATTGAATTTCTTATAGTTAATCGATGTGGTACAAGCTGATTTTTTTTATGGGTAAAAAAAACAAATCATTATAAAATAAAAGCTTGTGATTTTTTTAACGTGCTGTTTGATGCTAGGAATTTGGCAAGGAATCAAGTTTCTCCAATACCCTTGAGCATGGTCGATGTTAGATAACCGAGCAGCATCATGACCTCTACATTCAACCATGACATCTTGTTCTTTCTTGCTATGTTGCAGAGATTACAGTAATTAAGAATGATTAGGATGTCTGAGAACGAGAAAGGCAAAATGAAGGGAAAAGGAGAAGTGAATTTGACAAACTACAATGACTTGTAGTGCTTCATACATTGTAGTCAATGATGGTAAGCTTGATGAGGCGATAATCCTCACCCCTGCTGCACTCCCTTTCACAAGCTACCTCTTTTGGACCAGAAATGAAATTGTTCAGCAAGAAAAGAGCATAGAGAAAAATAGTTTGTATCAAAAAGTAGTCAACCAAACCTTGCTGAAACTGAGGTGAAGGAATTGGAGAGGGTGTCAATTTGTAATAACATGCAATTGAAGGCCATAGCAAATGGAGCCAGGAAGCTGAATGAAATGTCCAGAAATCGACCCACATGGTAACAAAGCTATTGATGATATTCCTTCCTTCACCCCCACCTCCACTCGTCCCTCCTCTGCTTCCCCGTCCTCTGCCATCGAACCAAATTAGGAAAAGAATAACAAAATCCAGAAACACAGAACCCCATCAACATTAGCCCTTCAGAGAGAGATAGAGAGGGAAGAGCGAAATTAAGGAGATAGGATAGGGGAGAAGCAAACTGTTTCCCGGCGAGGAAACTCTTATGTTTTAACTCAATTAATGTAACTTGACTTGTTGAACAACGATAAATCACACGGTTCACACTTCTTTGAACAATAATTAAATGAGGATGTTTGATAATTTTGATGGTTGATAAAAACTAAGTTAAATTACTTCTACTCCTATTGAGTTTCAGTGAGAGCTTCGAACACTAAAGGGTAAAGCTAATTTGCAGAGTAAATATAAAAGTTTGACATAGTGTGTCAAATGGTTGGTTGTGAAACCCTTGCTTCTTCTTCGTTCCTCCTATTTATAGCCACCAGGTGTAACTACCTTGGTAACCGCCCTGGTAACTGCTAGCTGGCCTGTTGCTTCAAACCATCTCTGATTCTTCATTGCGGTATTGGTGATCGGTTGGTGATTGTCATCTGGGTAGCTTGGTATCAGACTTGAATGGTGTTGAGTTGAGCTTATCTTGCCGCCTCATGGTGGCTAGAAAGGGTTGTGGCCTCCTTGTCTTGCCTTCATCACATTGGTACTCTCATCGGGCCTCCTCAACGACGCCACACTTAGCTCCTTTGATGTCGGCTTAGTACCATCCCGTCTCGTTACCTAGCTAGCCTCTCGGTTTGCCATACTTGTCTTGTTAGTTAGACCTTGTTACCTACCTAGACAAGATGAGAACTTCACCTATTTTCCCACCAAGTCTCCACACTTAGCCTTAGAGAGCTTGTCATGGCACCATCTTGACATCTTGGGATCAAGCCTGTCTTGTCTACTTGATCCACTGATGCCTTGCCCTGTTGGTAAGTCATTCTCACCACCTCCTTCTACCAAGTTTGCCCCTGCTACCAAGCCAGCCTTGCCTGCTTGGAGTCCATACTTAGTTTTTTGGAATCTCATAGGTTGGTACCTTGTTGCCCTATCGGTTTGGTACTTCGTTTCCACCATCGAGATTCCATACTTGGTCTTGATAATCTAGGAATACCAAGCCTGTCATGTCAGCTGTTTTGCCCTGCTTGGTACCCTCATCCTACCATACCTCTTTCGTAGGCTTGATACCCTGTCATTTGGCCCCGTGTTGCTATGGCCGGCATGACAGCATGTCGAATGGTCCCTGATTCAATCCGAATACCACAATAAATTCCCGCATATGGTCCAAGTATAAACCTTAGTCAGGTGCAGTATAGGATAAGTATATTTAAATATCAACCCGAGTCGGTCCGTCTACCCTTACTTCACTCATTTTAATAATTATCTAGCAACAAAGTTTTGGTTTAGTTTATGAGTATAAGGATCTCCTAATAGCGAAGGCTTTAGGCGAAAAGGAAAAAATATAAATTTTCTTGTTATCTATTCACAATATATAGAATAACATCCATGAATGGTCTGATTGCTAGTGTTGTGCGTCAGATGGATTGTTTTTGTGAATGGTGATTTAGATAGGGAAATCTACATGGGACAACCTATAGGGTTGTTATTCCTGAACATGCTTATGGAGTCTATAGTTAGACAAATCATTGTAAGATTTGAAACAGACTCTAAGATGATGGCATGAATAAACTATTTCTCTCTCATAGTTTTAATGAAAGTGATAAGTGCATTTAGTACAAGTTTAAGAATGACACGTGCACTATGAGATATTTGGTACAAAGACTCGTGATGTCAATATTATGAAAAGCCATGTTGTTTGAGAATTATGAAGATAAAAGATTTGGATGAAGCAAAAGTTTTATGCTTAGAGATCCAGATTACTAGGACAATGAAAGAGATTTCATTTAGATCAATTTAACTACACAGTTAGATCTAGAAGAAATACGAGGTGTACACCTGCATATATGGTTGATGATGCTAGTATAAATTTTTAAAGAACACCTAAGACGGTGTAAGAAAGTTAGAATATACTAGCATCAACAGTCTGCGAAAGGTAGCTGATAAACATGAGACCCGACATAGTGGGAGTACTTGGCAGGTTTACTAATTGTCCTAGTATGAAGTATTGAAAGGGGTCATGATGAGACACCTTAAGAGAACAATAGACCTTGATATAAGTTATCAACGGTTTCTTGCTGGATTGGTAGGGTATATTGATGCGGACAAGAATGCCCTATAGAAGATTCTAAGGCATCCAGTGGACATGTTTTAAACATCACTGGAAGTGTTGTGTCTTGGAATTCTAAGAAGTAAACGATCCTGGCTCAATCAACTGAGAAATCAGAAATGATAGAGCTAGCAATGGCTAGTAAAGAGAAAAGTTGATTGAGATGGTCATTACTAGAGATTCCCTTATGGAAAAGACTGATACCTCCGGTAGTTGATTTATTGTGATAGCACCGCAGCTATTACTAAAGAAGGGAACCGGTTCTATAACGAAAAGAGACGACAAATTCGTCGTAAGCACAGTACTGTAAGAGAACTCCTAATGATAGGAGCAATGAGGGTGGATCATGTAAGATCCTAACAGAATCTAGCTGATCCTTTGACGAAAGGATTATCTAGAGAGAAAGTCCAAAATACCGCCAAGGGTATGTGACTTATGCCTACCAAACCACGAACTACAAGTGATGATAACCCGACCCAATAGAATGGAGATCCCAAGAAATGGGTTCAATGGGTAATAACAGGCCATGAGTAGTATGCGAAAAGTTCATGCATAGTGAAGCATGAATCCCAAAGCAATGGAGGTTGAGTTAACAACTCTTAATGAGATCTATACCCTATGTGGGGTGGAGTACTTTACTTTGGGGATACTCCTAATAGACTCACCTATGTGAATGTGGGAGTGAGGCTGCTCCCTATGGAACTTTGGAGGCACAAAGTTGCTAGAGCGCTCACTAAACCGGGATAACGTGCATGGCCACAAACGCACGGCCTATGAGAGAATATCACTCAATGAAAAGATTCGGTGTGCTACATTTTCTGAGATAGGGTTCAAGACTACGCGTCACCCTTATGAAATCGGAAGTGTAACCACTATGCTAAGGTTCAAATCTTCGCGATACCTTAGCTTATGCCCGATCTTATGGATCTGTTTATGCTCAGAGATAGTTTCAAAACTATTCAAGTGGGGGATTGTTGGGAATGAATAGCTTTGAAAGCTATATTGAATTAATTATCCTGTATTCTTTCTAGATACAAAAATAAGAAGGATAATTAATAAAAAAATATTATGGAGATAATTAGGATTAATTATCTTAATATAATATAATATATTTTAATTATGGAAGTAATTATCTTCCTAATTAAAATGTGGCTTATTCCCAAAAAAAGAGGGAATATTCTAGGTTTTCTGCTCCTATAAATAGCAGTCCCCTAGACCCTCTAAATACACCTCAAAGAGCAGAGACACGAGAGAGAGTGAGATTCAAAGAGCTCCGGTTTTTCGCACAAAACCGCTGAGCAAATCAAAAGAGTGGTTGTTTTATCCTGGAGGCGACCGACTGATAGTGTGCGGTGCAAATAACGAGGCAGTGCCGCGAACGTCTTAAAGAGAGCGACCTAGTCCGCGACTCAGCTAGATCGGTAACCCTAATTTTTCCTGTTTGATTTCTAACATGTCACACCTACGTGGACCAATCATAAATAGCGGCACCGATGCCGCACTTTTTACTGCGGCACCGTAGCATTGGCCATAAATTATAAATCCATTGGGATGACTGCTCCAAATTCGCGACCCATAATAAATTATCCGACCTGAACCCAACCGATCACAAGAAAGTTACGAGTCTTATGATACCCGCCCCATAATCTTGGGCCATTGTCATTCCTACAAACTACTTTATCAAAATGGTTAATTTTTTTTACAACCAGACGTGTTCCCCACTCTTGCTCTTCTGCTCTCTCTCGAGAGTTCAGGTCGTGGACTTTGACCTCGTCATCCTAGAGAGAAGTAGCAAGTATATAACAGGAAAGAAAGAAATAGAATAGATGGAGAAAAAAAAATCCAGTTGCACGATTCCCCATCATGTCTGCCTTGAAAATTCCCCTTTCATATTTTATGATCGTAATATCTTATTCTCTGTTCTTTTCCTTCTTTTCCAATCTCCATTTGTGGTCTTCCCTTCCCGTTATCGTAACAGACTAACAGCACGCACATTAGTTAAGAAAACATAAAGGCCATCCAAATCCAATCTAAGGGATCACCAACAGGTGTTGTTTTGTCCTCCAATAAAAAAACACCCCAATTGCACATTATTTAATTTACTTCAAATTTTCTAAACGTAACTAAGTAATGACATACAAATCCCAATATCCTACTTTGTCCTATCTACGTACGTACACATTAATTTTCAAACCTTTTTTTGTGAAATTTTGTTTCCTTTTCCAAGAGCATATTTTGAAGCGATTTTTTTTTGTTATACATATACCCAAAAGGGAAGATCATATTTTGAAGGAATTTGACTACACATTACATGTTTTACAATGAGTTTTAGGCAACAACAACAAAAAAATCATTCTCATTAGATTATTTATTTTGGATGCACAATCGTTAAATGTAAATACAGTTTTAAACAAATTTACATAAGTTTATTTATATTGTTAAGCATTTATTAAGAGATACGAATATGGAACTTCAAAATTGAATAACAATGTAGTACCATAAAACAAAGTATGAATGGTCATAACAGATACATCAAACAACTATATAAATCATAATAAGTATGATTCAATTGTATACAAAAATTCTCATAAAAATCAATTTAAGTACGCTAACAAACTTAAATGCCATCAACCCATTTTGAAAGAGGAAAATCATTAGGACTTTGCTACGGTGACATGCATGTCACGGTGACATGCACTTTTCGGTCGACCTCATATAGGATCAGGTCGACCTAATCTGTTGTTTCAGTGTAAAAACAGTTTCATGGTGCCTACTTTGGAGATTCATATCTTACAATTGGCTAGATGGAAATTGGAGATTAGAGGCTTGTTTTGAAGCTGAAGTGTCCCTCTACACATTAAAGTACTTGGGAGCTCAATAGAAAGTCCAGAAGACCATTTTTGAACATGACCAAAAGGCTATGCCAAAACTGGGAAACTGCCTGAAAATGGCTAAGTCTGGCAACGTGTTTGTCAAGCCTACTTTGGAGCTCAATTTGAGAAGCATGGATGCGAGTCAAGTCCAGGGGCCTCTACCACGTTAAATTACGTATGTTTTTATACAGAGGCAAGACATTGTATGAAAGATTGAATATCTTTAAGGCTTCAAACAAAAGGCTCGAAGTTGCTACGAAGGTTGTTTTTCACAGCTTGCTTGTGCTCGAAGTCTGCCAGAAAAACACCCTTCATAACAACTTCGACCCTTTTGTTTGAAGCCTTACAGATATCCAATCTTTCACCCAACGCCTTGAATTTGTATAAAAACATACCTAATTTAACGTGGTAGAGGCTCCTGGACTCGACTCGCATTCATGCTTCTCAAATTGAGCTCCAAAACAGGCTTCACAAACACGTTTCCAGACTTGGCCATTTCCAGGCAGTTTCCCAGTTTTGGCATAGCATTTTGATGAGGTTCAAAAATGGTCTTCTAGACTTCCTATCGAGCTCTCAATCACTTCAATATGTAGAGGGACACTCCAGCTTCAAAACAAGTCATTAGTCATTAATTTCCATCTAGCCAATTGTATGATATGAATATCCAAAGTAGGCACCATGAACTGTTTTTACACTGAAACAACATATTAGGTCGACCTGATTCTATATGAGGTCGACCAAATCCTAAATGAGGTCGACCAGATCCTATATGAGGTTGACCGAATTCTAAATGAGGTCGACCTAATCCTAACTGAGGTCGACCGGAAAGTGCAAGTCACCGTGACATGCATGTCACCGTAGGCACACCCAAATCAATAACACTAAACGAATTTATGCATATATAGCCTATTTGAAGACAATCTCTCTAAAATATAGTTGAATTTAACAAATATAAAAAAAAAATTCATAATTGAATTTCTTAAATAACATCAGCATTTAACTTTCAAACTCAATAAACAACTCAAAATTTTCATTCAATGCACCAAACCGACATTAATTTATTTTAGATGTCGAAATCGGTCATGTCGATCACACCGAAACCTACCATCCGAAATTATAAACGGTATCGGTTGAACCCGATTGTGCCAACCGACATGTCACCAATTTCACATCCATCTCTATCCTACCATTAGGCATGGAGAGAATGGTTCAATAGCACCATTAGAAAATGGTGAGAAGAAGAGAGAGAGGGGGGGACAAGGTCAGTCAATAAAGAAGAGGAAGAAGAAGACGACCAAGAAGAGAGGAGTGAGGAGGCAAGCAGGCAGCGCATCTTTCAATAGTAGTTGGGGGCTTTTGCCTTTCTCTTCTTTTCATGTTCCCTTTAACTTCCCTTCTTCCCCGCTTTCACTGTCAAACCCAAATGTATTACCAAAACTGTGTAAAATGACTAATCAGACCCCCCTCTCTCTATATATTCCAAGAATGGCAGCAGCAGCAGCTGGGCAGCAACACTGAAATGGACGGTAAAAAACACAGAAATCCGCTTCTCTCCTGTCACAATCCTCTCTCAGTAATTAACACAACAATAAAATATGAAGGCATGAATTTAACTAAAAACTGGTCATCCATTCATTCATCAGTCATCAACTTCCTTTTTTCACTGTTTCATTTTTACCCCTTTTTTCTTGGGTTCAATGTTCCATTCAATCCTATAAGCTGTACACTTCCCCTTATTTCTCACCCACCCAAACAGCGGCTTTTGAATTTTCACTACCCCGGGGGAAAAATTCAGTCCATTTCCCCACCAATCCTTTTCAACCATATCCCCAAAACCAAAACTTACTTCCCAAAATAACCCTCCATCTAATTTAGAAAAAAACATGAAACCCTAAACCAGAAAACAAATCCCCAAGGAAAAGGGAGAAATGGACTCCCACCTCCACCAAGAAAGAACCCAAACTCAATTTACAAACGCCCATTTGCCATCATCACCTTCCCCAAATCCCAATCCCAAGCAATCCCCATGGCCCAACTTCCCAAAACTCACCCATCAGCCAGCCAAGCCACCTTAATTGTCCTGCCGCCTTCATTAATTAACAAATCACGGCTTTTGCCCTGGTCTGGTGCGCATCATGTATTGTTTCCCTCCCCCTCATCTACTTAAATGCCCCCATCTTCCACCATTTAAGGGCATTCATTTCTCTGTCCAGAACCAGAGAGCAATGGGGTCTTAATGCAAAGGAGACACAGAAGCAAAGACCTTGTTTGCTACCTGTCCTCGATGAATATTCGCCCGATGAAATCCCTGAACCTCCTCGAGTAGAGTTTGGGATCCACCGCCGAGATCGAAGCTGGATCGACTTGCCACGACTTGTAAGCATGCTCCAGCTTCTTGCTGATATCGTAGTCCTGCAATATGTCGATGACCCCGAAATACAGCACCACCTCGCTCGTCTCCCCACTCCTGCACGGCGTCAACTGCCCCACTCCCCCAGGGGTGTACTGATCAAAGTCGCTCCGTCGACCCATTCTCTCTGCCCTCGCCGGCATGTTTGCCCCCAACCTAATCAGCGGTTTCCTGCATTTACATACAAGTCAAACCAAGATAAATTAAAACAAACAAACAAAAAACAGATTGCACGATATCACGTATGCTTGACGATCTTTGGGTTTTCAAGTACTCAGATTGTGCGAGATCCACCGTTACGAATTTACAATCCCCACAACTCAAACACTATGTTTTGGTATTTTGCACACACGTCTTACAGTTTCATCCTCAAGATACAAGATTTCCTAAAACCGTATATTCCACAATCAATGGCTACCAAACCAACCACCACTTAGATACTGCTGACAAAGAAAATAGACAACTATTGTAGATTAATGTCAGCTTCATAAGTGATACGTTTCACAAGTCACAACTACAACCAAGGGGGGCAGATTTGAAACTTATCTTAGATGCTAAACAGGACCACCCACCACTTCGATTGCCCCCACAAACAACTTATACTGTCTGCTAAAGACAGGTCCCCAATAATTCCATCAAATTCCTGATATTCAATTACACAATTCATCATTGCCACCTTTAGTGCTGAAATAAACAACACCAAAGAGAGGCTCGACCACATGTTTCTTGCAATTGTTAGATACATGACACCCAGAGATGTCACCTACTAATCCAGCAAGCAAAAAGATTATATTCCATGCATCAAGGCTGGAATTAGGATAAGGCAATGAAGGTTGGAGATATACAAACCTGCCAGCTAAAATTCGATCTCTGTCTTGTAGCTCCGCTTCAAGAAATCGACAGCCACGCATGAACTTCTCATTCTGGTAGGAGTCCTTAGTCCCTAAACAACAAAGAACAAGCACGTTGAGCAAAGTTTGGCCGGCCACATCTCATCCACACAGCACCACAATCCCAGTCAAAGCCAAAAGGGCTGATATTTTATTTTCTAGTAACCACCTGAGCGCAAAACGAATGGTGATAATCCCATTTTATCGCAAGTGCTGTCGTCGCGGAAGTGAAGACCAACCAAGAGACTGTAATCCATTATCCGCTCAGCTTCCAGAAATTCACAATCACGATCGATTTGCCTACAATATCATTAGAAGAATGAAGTGTCAATCAGAAGTTCATAAAACAAATGTGAAAAGGATTCATTGATGATCAATCCTAGAAAAGCTTACTTCATAAGCTCCTGGTACCAATTCCGCTGGAGCCGGAATACGAAATTGAGATCAAGGTCCTTGAGAGTTGTGGTTTCATCAATCTCGTCCTCGGGCTTATCGGTTGTGCGTCCGTGGGAAGATCCTTTTAAGTCAAATCTCCTATGTATTCTATACTCTGAGCAAAACAAGTTGCCCATCACAATGAAGCGGGTCTGTTTGAACAAACAGAACAAAGAGTCAGCAATTGTCAAGTGGCAGCAAGAAGGGAGATAGTTTTGAACAGAAGTGCAAGGTTCTTATACCTTCTGACCACCAACAGGTTTAACACAATGCACGCCGAAGAACTTGGTCACAAGTGAGTTCTCGTATCGGCAAACGTGTTGGTAATAACTGGAAAGCATCCGAATGAGGACCTGAAAAATGGATATGGAAAAACCTCAGCACTTGTTTGAAATACTTCAATGATAGAGAGCACAACCATATTGCACCATTGGAAGCATTCCATGTGCACATATTAAAATTCTTTATTTAGGAACAGGCAGAAGTCAAACGCAGTAGGCAACAAACCTTGACTTCAGATTTCTTCACCGTCTTGATCATGAATCTATCATCTTGGGTAAGGTAAAAGAAGCTTCCACTCTTCCCTGGAGATGAAAGCTCTCTGAGGGCATCATTGCCACATATAGCCAACATGTAATCTGCAGTATCCACTTCGAACAGCTCCCTTAAATTCCTATTAGGAACAACAAATCAAGAAGAACCATTCATATCAGTCATATTCGTTCTCAAAGCTCATAGGAAGTATAAATCGTGAGTGCGGATTCCTACCGGAACACCATCGGACAGTAATCCTTCCACCGGAACTCTGACGACTGATGTGGAGGTGTAATTTTCGATCCCTCTGCAGGGAATCTCGTCCAGAACTTCTCCTTGGGATCAAAATCAGAAGGCTTCAGCTCTCTAACTATCTGAGCATGTTTCCCCACAGAATATCTGCAATCAAAAGGAAAAACAAATTAGTCAAAACAAACACAATAATGCAAAGCTCCCCTTCAAGGAAAACAATTGAGAGCGGAAGCAGGCGTTTTACCTGATACCCAACTGCAAATTAAGCATCAAATCGTAGTTCTTATGCCCTTTAGAAATTGTCTGGCCAGGCTTTTTAGCCTCCCCATCGAAACAACAAGGCCCTCTCCTGAACTGGTGAATCCCATCTCGTTCCAATCCCAAACCATCTCTGTAAATCATGGAAGCCTCCACATTATCAATGATATCGCAGGTAATGTCCCCAGCCTCGCCATCGCTCTCCCATATGCATATTCTCGGGAAATTGATACCACTCCCTCTCCCACCGTCCACCGAGGATCTCTTCCTCGTCGCCATGGTCGCAACGAAATCTCCGTCGTTTCCTTTGAAACAATGTTCCTTCCCATTCCCCGGATAGAAGGTTCCGTTCAACTGCTGAGCTCTGGTCAAGTCCTTGCCGCTATTCCATGTGCCGATGTAGCAGCTCCCATCCGGCCAGGTGAACACGCCGTTCCCCTTGGGAACTCCGTTCTCCCATTGGCCGTCGTATCGGTTCCCATTGGCCCAGATCAAAACCCCCTTCCCGGAGATAACGCCGCCCTTCCATTCTCCAACGTACTCGTTACCATTCTTCCACACATACCTCCCTTGACCGTCCTGGAGATTCTTCTTCCAGGTACCCTCATAGAAATCTCCGTTGGCGTATCGCTTCTGACCGTAGCCGTGCTTCCGGTCGGCGCTCCAGGAGCCACGATAGGTATCGCCGTCGGATCCGGTGAAGGTTCCAAACCCTTCCATCCGACCCGACTTGAATTCCCCCTCGAAGGTGGCACCAGAGGGCCAGGAGAATTTCCCCTTACCGGAGGCTTTCCCTCGGCGCCACTCTCCCTCGTACATGCACCCGTCGGCCCAGAGGTACTTGCCGGATCCGTGAGGGGCGTTGCCGGCGAAGGATCCGAGGTAGAGATCTCCGTTGGGAAGGTGCTTCTCGACGGTGGTGGTGGCGTCGCCGTTAGAGCCGTCCAGCGCAGACGAAGCTATGGTGATGGTAGTAGGAGTGACCCTTCGAGTGGCGGACTGGGATCGGGGACGGCCGACGGCGATTGGGTGAGGAGGTAAGGAAATCGGCAGCGGCCGAGGGGGTAGGGTTGTAGTGTTGTCTTTATCCTTGAGCAACACCACGACCTTGGTATCCTCGCCAAGCCCGTCAGACCTCTTCTTCTTGGTGTCGCTCCTGTCATCAACGATTAATCCCTCTCGCATTTCTTTTACCGCATAAATAACACTCACCGGCGAGGTCGCCGCCCTCTTTCTGGTCTTTTCCTTTCTCCGTTATCTCTCTCTGTCTCTCTGTTTCTTTGCCTATTGGGGTTTTCTTTCTATCTATCTATCTATCAGAGAGAGCAGGCAGGTGCATTCAAAAGGCGGAGGAGCCACTTCCGGCAGCGGAGACCGGAGAGAAGAAGAGAAGCATGGTTTACGACGACCAAGTAGGAATGTAATCGGAATTTTGGTCGCTTTCTCTCTCTTTCTTTTGGGAGGAGGGGGTGGGGAGAATGCTGTCGTCTCTTTTGCTTTTTTGGGAAGAGGGATTTGATGATATTTCGCTTCCGCAGCTGAGCTATCAGCCTAGCTGCCTCTCCGTCTCCGTCTGCTTCTTTCTCTCTCTTTCCTAGTTTCCGTCCGTTTTTTTTTTTTTTTGTCTGCTGAAATTTGATTGCGGAAATGGAGATGGGATGTGTGTGGGAGTGGGAGGGCACTAAGAGGAAAGAAGAAGAGAAGGGAAGGGGAAAGAGAACACAATACTGAATATTGAGATATTGTATCTAGAAATATATTATTGGAGTTTGATTTTTTTTTTATAGGGAGTTTAAATTGATAGGTGGTATAAAAAGTGGCTGAATTACGATTAAACCACTAACTTTTCTGGTACAACCTCCAGTATGGTATTTCAAATCTTGTCAAAAACACTTGCGATTAACATTAGTAGCTCCGCCCGAAAATTTTGTGAAGGACCTCAACTTTTTCATTACAAAATTTTTTAATTTGGAACTTTCGACACTGCTCTAATAATTATAAGCGACACCCTTTCATTATACGACAATAGTTTTAATGTTATAAAGTTATTCATCATAATTAGTAATTAACAATAATAAGTAAAATCAAATAAGCATGCTTGTTTTAAGTAACCCACAACCCAATTTAGGGGTCGTTTGCTTCAAGGATTTTATAACGAGGGTTTTGTCATGGATTTGCTAATTAAAAACCTTGGGATTTATTAGGGATTTTGGGCATTATGGATTTGAGGAAATCCTTTGTTTGTTGAGCTATTTTTATCATGGATTTGATGATTTCAGATTTATAACTGAAAAGGTTCAATTACCTTATTACCCTTGTTCAGCTACCCAAAAACAGGCTCTGACTCTTTTGTTTTCTTTCCTTCTTCATAAGCCCCCACGAAAGACTCTTCTTCACCATCACTTCTCCAATCGTGACGCATCTGCAGAGGCAACGACAAGGTGCTGTTGTTTGGTTCGGAAGAAGGTATGTTTGAACCATCTTCCATTTCGCTTTTCCCATTTGATTCTTCATTTTGAGTTCGATTTCTCCTTTGATGGCAGTGGGGATTTCAATTAGCAAATCCAGTCATCTCATGGAAAGTAAAGGGAAGATTGTGACAGTTCCAGATGCATTCTGTTATGAGGAGGAAGAGGTTCTCTGTTATTGCGGGCTGAGGGCGGCTAGAAGAATCTCTCGTACTGCTGGGAACCCTAACCGCAAGTTTTTTGGATGCCCCCTGTTCAGTCGCTCAAAGGATAACAAATCCTGTGATTAATTTGAGTGGTTTGACATTAGAGCTGTGGTATTCAAAGCAACTGCACCGCTGTCTGAAATGGTTTCGATGTTGGAATCTGAAAATAGGGAGCTACGCAATTTGTTACAGAGGGTAATGAAAGATGGACCTGGAAAACATCAACTGAACGAGTTTGCTGTTGAGCTAGAACTCATCAAGCAGAGGGTACAACGTCTAGAGTTAGAGGGTACTAGTAGGAAATGATTGGAAGTAGATCATGTTGTTGTATTCCATGTTATTTTCAGTTCAGTTATGAATGTGTAAGATTAGTATGTACTGTGTTGTCAATGAATTGGAATGAAAACAATGTATGTTCTTTTACTCTGGGATTCTCTTTAAACAAGCATGTTGGTGGGGAAATTCATTGACATTGTTAACTGAAATATCCAGGTTGCTTACTGATGGAGCAATTCATCAACATTGTTACACAATGGACCTGCAAAATACAGCCTGCTACAAAAGAGTTCAGCAGCTTGTATACTCCTACGAACTCTGGGAATACAACTCTAATCCTTGAAACATTAACAACACATGTTGGGTTGTAATGAAACTTCAGCAAAATGACAGTGTGTCCACCACCAACACTTGCAACAGCCAAATCTAGGATGATCTAAACTTGCACAAAAACAAAAGTTTCACATCCATACCACATGTGTTCTGCAAAATAGAGTACCAACTAGTTCATACACAAGCCTAATCAGCGTAGCAGATTCTTGATGAAGTAGCATCGGTCCTCATCGCTTTCCAACGCTTAGAAAGTCTAGTCTTTGGATCATTGTCTACTAAAGCCATAGCAGCATCAATGACTTGGCCACGAGTGAGTCCATCAATCTTGCCTATCTCCTTGATCAAGGCAGCCTGCTTGCTGTTGGCACCATCTCGCTCACTTCGCTCACTTGTTATGGATCCAAGTGCTTCCACAGCTTTGAATAATATTGGCTTCAACTAACCTAGTTGAGAGGACACATTAGCTATAGCTGAATCAGTTGTCATTTCACTCTTATTAGCCCTTTTCTTAGTTGTTTGGATGCTTCCAGCTCCACTTTTGGGGTTAGATGGAAGTTTCTGAGTAGTTGGAGTGGCTTGTGTTTCAGCTTCCACGGCAGTTGGATGTTGCATATCAATGCCCTCATTGATTATGTCCTCTAGTATCTCTGTGCATCTCTGGTCATCTAGATCAATTGGTGTGTCAAAGCCTTCCATATGCAGGAGATTTTTAGGAGATGGTGGTCCGTCACAAAAATCACCTGTAACTCTTCCAGCTGCTGTCCCACCTTTCCCAAAGATCTCAAGAAGGTCGTTGTAGAAGGGAAAAGGCACTTTGTTCAGGTTTTTTATGTTAGGATGCACCTAGGGGGAGCAAACATAGCCATTCGCAATAAGTTAGAATAAAAAACCAAAGATTAGGCTTTGGTATACAACAATTTTGTTTCATACCGTTAGAAGGTCTTCAAACACATCATCATCGATAATTGGTGTACATGTGGTCTCATCCCAGCCTTGTCCACTCTTGGAACGAAGCAAGTGAACTGCCATGAAATCCCTTTTCAGCTTCTTGTGCCTTGATCTAATGTTTGGATCAGCTTTCACTCCACAACCAGGGGCCTTCTTGTTCATCATAAGCTCTAGCTCAGTAAAGGATCCACTCTTTAAATTGCGATTCTCAACTTGGTGCTTATGAACTAACTCATACATACATTCTATGAGAATAACATCCAACCTTTCAGTCCACGAGAAATATGGCCCCTTAGGCTGAGGGACTTGGCTGCCCTCTCCTTCTCCTTCTCCTTCTCCTTCTCCTTCTCCTTCTCCTACTTCTATTGTACGCCCTAGGCATCCTGTAAAAACATAATAACAAAATACAATATAATAACAATAAATACAATAGTTAAAAAGGCAGTTGCCTTCAACTACCTCCACCTACTCATTCAACCATTAAACAAACCAACAAATTGTTCAACTTATAATAAACCAGCAGACTGTCATAAAAACAAGTCAGGTTTCATGACATTCAACATTTAATACAACAGTCGAGTGTCGTACAACACTTAAAAAAAACAGTAGAGTGGCATACAACAGTTAACACTCAAATAACAACATCCAACAGCTAAGAAGACACACAACTTCAGCTAAGAAGGCAACCAACTTTATCCTCTACGATTCCTACTCGACCACATTTCCTTTGCCATATTATCCCTAAAGTGAGTCCACTGGTGTGAAGGCTGAACCATTGTTATAACATCCTCTATATGCTCAACATAAGCTGATGGATATTGCTCAGGCTCTTCATAAATCCATGATGGTTGGTTTTTTGGTACAATATCCATGGTGCAAATCCTTGAAGCAAACGGCCCCTTAACTTGTCGATTTGTAGTTAATAGGTGAATTGCATATATTTATAGGAGTTTGTGGTTTGATTTTGGTTAATTTGATAGAACTAGAGAAAAATGCTAATGATATTACTTTAGACATACTTTGTTTTTTCTAAAATTGCCGATTGGTAGCAAACAAATTTATTTTAACTTAATTTTAGACGTAGGTCGATTCTCTTTGGTTGAATGACTAATTTATGAATGATTATGTAGTTGTGTATATCGAAAAAGGTTTGATTTGAAACATAAACGATGAATGTATTTTAAAAAAATCTCAAGATATGAAAAATAATTATAATTCGTAGTAAACATGACGTTGTGAACTTATAAATGAATTTTTGTTAATTTCTATTAAATTTCTATTTAATATTTTATTTATTATAATTTTTTATCGAGGATACCCCTCTTCAATAATCCTGGGTCCGCCATTGAACATTAGAGTGTCAACCGGCTTCTAAAAGAGTGTGAATCAGGCATGTTTGGGTTGGGTTCAATTCGGTTACTGATGTAATAAGTTTAATCGGATTTGTGGATTTATCAGGTTGCGGGTCAGTTGGATTGCAGGTTCATCGTGTCAAAGGTTGGAAGGATTGCGATTTGTTCAAGTCAAGTCGCCACATTGTGTTGCTTACTTTTTACTCATTACAACTAGGGCTGGAAGTTTGGTACCGGTATTTGGGATATTATCGAATACCGTACCGAATTTGTCTATATTTGGTATTACCGAATACACGTATTATTTTTTCGGATTGGGATTGAATTTCAATTGTAATTCGGTATTAGGGATTACGGGATTGGGATCGGTATATATCGAAATACCGATCAATACCGAAATATAAACTATTGTGTATTTATCCTCTCAACTAGACTCTCTCATTCACTACTACATGACCCTCAACCACCAAAAGTGTCATTTAATTATACATAGATCATTTCATCTTTGTTTCACAACTCAAAAGTCCCCATACAACTCAATTTTGACTTTCTAATTTAAGTTAGTCTCATCTCTCACCTAATCACTTGTTATTTTCATAACAACAAAAAGCAAACACTAGTATTCTCACCTAATCACTTGTTATTTTCATAACACAAAAAGCAAACACTAGTATTAGTCGTCTCTCAACCTCCAATTCGTTAAATTAAAAATTACCAATGACAAAAACTTGAGATGTCACCTCTCCTTCATTCTCCTTATCCATATCCTAGCTCTAAGCAAACTCAATACTCTTTGCTTAGTCTATTTGCCCTAAATTAAACAGTCAAATCTAATTTATATATTTAATTATTTATTTGAAATATAATTAATTTCGTATTCGATGATACCGATTGAGATACCGAAGTACCAATTGGGATACCATAATATTTAGGGATTGTGATTGATTTTTGGGTGTAATTCGGTATTTGGTATTGGGATTCCACCCCTAATTACAACTTATATTTTATTTATTACACTAATTTCGAACATTTTTCATAATTTTTAGACAATTTATTTCTATTTATATACGTGCG